CTGAGTCCCTGGCTATGGAATAAGGGCCCTGTTGCGAAGGAGCACCGAGACCTCGCAGCAGCCCTTGGCATTCTGGGGGAAACCTGGGCTCAGGAACCCCCTGGTTGTCAGAGTAGGCCTGTATGGAAAGGAACGGTCTGGGATGTTTGGATGGGCAGAGAAAGCTTCAGCCAGAAGCAGAAGCAAAGTCCCCAGCGGGAGGCATCGCAGGAGACAGACTTAGGATTCAGACGAGGGCTCCAACCCTGCCTCTGCCCAACGCCTAACCTCGGACCGGTCCTCAAGCTCCGTGACCATCCCCTAACAACAGGATAACAACGCACATGGCCTGGAACTGGACGGTCATTCCCTGCGAGGCAGAAGTGGGGCGGCTCCCACGAAGCGGCCGCAGCCTGTCGGCCGACCTCCCTCCAAAGGCCTCCTTTGGGGCCCGCCGGGACCCTGCTGCCACAAGGCTTCTAGGAGCTCGAGGCCGGTGGCAGCACTTCCACACCCTGTCCTCCTTCAGCTCAGACACAGGCTGTGTCCCCAGCAGCCCCTTCCCGGCCAGCTCTGCTGCTGCTGGCTGTGCTTGTACCCACTTCTGCAGTGGGTGTGTGCGTGCTGGCCTTTTAAGGCTGTTGCATTCAGGATCTACGTGCTGAGTCAGGATCTCCGTGTTGTAGACACCACAGCGTTTTCCCGTCTCCGCGGTCTCCTGTCCACCCAAACCAGCATGTCGACCGACAGCTTTCGGTTCCAGGCATGGAAACCCTTTGCAACAGCAAGATTTGGGTGCCTGAGCAGGTGCCGGGGAGGCCCGGCGTTTGGCCCCGCCTCCTTTGCACCTTGCTGGGTGATGCTGGGCAGTTCCCAGCGTGCTCGGTTTCTGTGTTTAACCACCCAGGGCAATGACTCTCACTCTCACTGTGAGGCTTAACTGGAGGCCAGGTGACACATACAAAGCCCTCAGGCGAGCCACGCAGCACTTAAGAAATGGGAGTGGCTATTAGTCATGAATAGTTAGAATAATATGCTAAGTCAGTGCAAATCTCACAGGGTGTAATGTTATAGATTCACATAACAATGGTGAGATATGCTACAAATCAACAGATTACATAGCCTATTTTTTAAACCTTTGTATCAGTTTTACCCATTTCTGTGACTTCTAGGAAAGAAGATAACTGGATTTTAAAGTAGCTGCAGTGCCTTGCTGACCTGTTGGTTTATTTATTTGGCATTTCATTTTTTTTTTTCTTTTGGCGGCGCCACGCGGCTCGCGGGATCTTAGTTCCTGGACCAGGGATTGAACCTGTGCCCCCCAACAGTGAGAGCTCGGAGTCCTAACCACTGGACTGCCAGCGAGGTCCTTATTTGGTGTTTCATTTAACGACTCTTTTTTCGACTACCTACCAGGGGGCTGAGCCCATTTTGCAGTGCTGGGAGTGAACTGGGGACAGGACAGAGATGGCCCCTGCTGCCACAGAGCTGACAGTCTAGAGGGATGAGACCGAGCAACAGACACCGTGGCGGAAACTGCAGACAGAGAAGAATGAGTCTCGTAGAGGGAGAGGGTCAGCACAGGAAGTGAGGGTGTGAGCCATGTGGCCATCTGGGCAAGAATCCCAGGCAGAGGGGTGGCAGGTGCAAAAGGCCCTGAGGTGGGGGCACCGCTGGGCGTGGCTGGAGGGCTGTGGGAATGAGGTCATCCGGGGAGGGGATGCGCCACATGGGACCTGCAAGTGATGAGATGTGATTTTCTCTCTGGTGAGGGGGAAGCCACGAAGGGCCCCCCAGTCTGGGCAGGAGGGTGACAGGGCCTCACCAAGGTTTCAGTGGGTCCTTGCTGGCTGCAGAGGACAGACTGAAGGGGGCAAGGGTGGCGCAGGGGGAGGCTGAGGGGCCCAGTAAGTGGGGGCCTGTGACCCTCCTCCCCTACTTTAGGGTATATGACTTCCTGCCCCATGGGTTTCATCTATGCCACTGAACTGGGACGCCCAGCTTCCCGCCTCTCCTGTGGGCTGTCCCGGTACTCTGTGTGGGCCTTTCTCACTAAGGAAAACTGCCATCACTCATGGTGCTAAAGGTGGGCCAAGCTGAGAGGCAACCCCCAGAGGGTACCGTTCACTTGTAGCCTGTGGGCTCCTCTCCAGGGTGCCATCTCTATAGAATGTGATGGGAGTTGCGCCCCCTGGAGTTGTGCCGTGGACGGTCCCAGCAAACAGCTCTGAGTCTGAGAAGACGTGGACGGTGGTGGGATGTTCTGCAGCGGTGTCCCCTCTTCCTGATATGTACTCTGAGTTCGTACAGTCTGCACCTGCTCACGGCACCCACGCCAAGCGTTTGGAGGAGGGCTCCTATCAGGTTCCATTCATGCAGTCGTGCATTCACTCACACCCAGCCTCCCTGCGGAGCCTCCCCCAAACCCTGTGAGGAACACAGGTGGGCCAGTGTCCCCAGTAGGACACTGGGGATCAGGAAGGTGTTGTGATTGGCTAACACACAGCAGTGAGGTCTGCGTCTCCTGACTTGGCTATTCTCCAGGCCAAACGTGATCTTCCTGCCGCTGGGCAGCGTCCCGCCAAGGGGCAGCCAGGTGGTGACAGTGCCCTCTGCACCCACCAGGGGGCAGCAGACGATCATCGGTGTTGATGGCTGGAGGGTGGCTGGCTACCTGCGTCCCAGCCCGGGCTCATCCTCTAGGTTGGTTCCCTGTCCAGGCAAGAAGGCCGAGCACAGTGAGGACACGAATAGGGTGCCCCATTCTGCCCCAAGCACTGTGCAAAGCACCTGGATGATTACTTCTGTTCAGTCCTCACCAGCGATTCTGACGGGATGGGGCGCTCCCCATTCTGCAGAGAGGGAGGGGGATCCTGCCAGGGGAAGGTGCCTGTGCAGGCTCTGGGGCCGGGGGTGGCTGGAGGCGCCGGGAGTCAGGCTCTGTCCACCACTTTGTGATTTCTCGGGGTGATGCTAGAAGTCGCCTGCTGCCGCGGGGTCGTCTCCTTTTGTCTCGGGCAAGGCAGGCTCGATCTCACCCGTCTGAGGCAGGCTCCTTCCTGTCCGTGTTCAAGAAGGTGCCGCACCCGTTTCCTCAGAGGAAGGATGCCCGGACAGGAACTTGGAGCTCACCAGTCACTTGGCCTGATTCTACTCCTGCCAGAGTCTGGGGTGTGCCCTGGGAGCCCAGCCCCTCCTCCGCTCCTCTCTGTGGGCCAGAAGCTGGCCTGGGTCCCCATGCTTCCTCCTCAGTTTGGAAAGGGGCCAGCCTGACTCTCTGCAGAGGCCACTGCCCAGAACAGAGGGCTCAGGGGACCCTCACTGAGCTCACAATGAGGTGGGGTGTCACCCTGCTCTGGCTCCTGCCCCAGGAA